AAATATAAATGTTAAGAATTAATAATTTTAATATTAATAAATAAGTAAATATTTATATTTTAATATTAAAAATAAAATATGTTACATTTAAATTTTCTAAATAAGAAAATAAATAAAAAATGAAAATAACAATTATCTCAATTGATTTTTCATTAAAAATGAAAAAAACATTTTCTTTAAAAAAAATCATTTCTCTCTTTTTTGTCATTTTTGTAGAGTATCAATCTTTTTAATTTAATTATGTTAAAATTGATGTTTACAAATTGAATTTTTATATTTATAAAATATAAATGTTAATAATAAAATGTTTACAAAGAAGTGTGCTGGGTTTGCAAAGGCGTGGGTTTCAATGGCTAGAACCCAGCGGCCGTTGTGTTGGAACCAAGCACGCTGGGTTGGGTTCGAACCCAACACACATGGGTTCCAGCCAACAGTCGTTGCGTTCGAACCTAGCACGCTAAGTTGGGTTCAAACCCAAAACAGATAGGTTCCAACGGCTGGAACCCAGCGGCTACTGGGTTCAAACCCAGCACGCTTGGGTTCCAACGTCTAGAACCCAGCGACCATTGGGTTCAAACCTCACAAATTTTTTCTGTTTTGTGAAAAAAATCAAAAAGATTTTCTATTTTTTATGTGTTTTATTATTTAATGATGGGTAGAGAGGAGGAATCGGAGATGAGGATACCGAAAAAGTCAAGGTCAAGATCTGGTGAGAAGTACGGCATATGGAAGATGGGTGAAGGGGGGAGCAATCGGCAGGCAAGGGAGAGATGCAAAATTATGGAAGCAATATATATAGTGGTTTAATCGTAAATTTATTAAAATATGAGGGTAAAATAGGTATAATGGGTAATTTTTATTAATTGGAAGTTGGAAGCTCCCACAAAAGCTTGGATTTCTTGCTTTCAAAATTTTTAAAGGATGGAAGCTGGCTGGAGATTCTAACCAACTGAAGGCAATATGAGAAGTAGGAGTATTTGGTGCAGCTGCACCTTTTGGACTTCAAAAGGTCTTCTGACCAGCTGCACCAAACGCCCACTTAATCCCATGTGGGAGGTGGGTTACATTTTATTCAATGGTTGTAGGATAGGATAAAGGATTGGATACAGGGTATCCCATCTTCTAGTTCTACCAAACATGGGATACAACAAGATGGGACAAATTTTTTGTCCCATCCCATAGTTTGTCTGGGCTCCTAAATGTGCTCTTAAGAATTCTAATCTATCCCCATGATAATAGTTAGAGTTTAACAAGTTCTTGTTCTCCTCAGTCAAAGTTTTCAGTTTGAATTGGTTACCAATCCCACAAATTAGAACTTGAGTTTTTCTAAAAGCAATTCAAACAGATATTTGTAGATTCAAACCAAAATTCTAGAAGGAGCTATTTTGACAGGTCAACAATCTACTTTGTCTTAATGGGCCATAAAGGACTTGCTTGGTTGATTTAGTTTTCAAGACAATTTAAAATATGTTATGGAAAGTTGAAAAAAAGATGGAATTTGATTGGAGGAATAGTTGAGATGGTATTGAAGACTAAAACAAGATTTATGCAAAAATCTCTCAACCAACTAATAAAAATACCAGATTCAAATTTGAAATGATATCAATAGAGTTTTGGAAAACATATTGTAATTTTGAAATTCTTTGTATCTTTTTCCTCTTGTACACTACTTGGGTTACCTTTTCATTTATAAGGGTTTTGTATTCTTCTTTGATTGGGATAATTCTTGAACAAGTTGAGTGAGTTCTTGAGATTTACTTGTATACAGTTCCTAGCATCCCAAAGCTAGGCGTTAGGGTTTAATTTTGCACCCATGAGCAAAAGAATCATGGTGGATTCTCAAGCATTGAGACTTAAGGAGTGGACATACTTTGGGTTGGAGAAACCATTACAAATCACAATTTGATCTCTTCTTCCCTATTCTTTTTATTTTTTGTTTTATATTGTTTGTGTGATTACTTTAGTGTTTAATTAAAATAGAACTTTGGGTAAGCCTTTTGGGTTTTCATGATAAACACTAATCTCATAAAAAAATATTAAATTAATCCTAAATTCTTGTAACATGTAATTTGAGAAAAAAAAAAACGATTATTGTTTTAGGAGACGAGAAAAATAAAATAAAGACTTCTGATTAGAGTATTCCCTGACCCCAACAATGGTGCCCCATGTTGGAGAATATGAAGCCTCTTCTCAAGAATGGAGCTTGTATGCACCTTCATGGGGCGTCCCTTGATGATTTTTGTCAGTGGTAACATCTGAATACTGGGCCCCCAATGACAAAGAACAAGCAGATAACTAAACAGAGGAACCCAATTTTGAGATGTGGCCTCTATACGCTTAAGGCCCAGTTGAAATGTCAAAAATCTTGGTACCCCACATGGACAAGAAAGAAAGAGAGACAGTTTGTAAGGACATTGACAAAAGGCCCGGAAAGGACGAACCATGAAAGACATAATCATTTTATTCTAGTTAAGATGTTTGGATACCATTTTGTTGTCTAATCAAATGATGTTATGTACTAACGTAATGAAGTTGAATGTTTTTCTTCAAAGTGGGTAGTGGTGGAATGGTGGAGTGGTAATCTTTAAGTATCGAATAAAGAGAGTGGGATGGGTTTGGAAGCAAGGAAAAAGATTTCTTGGTGGTCTGGTGCCCCCCAGCCTAATATTGGAAAACTAGTCACTTCACACTTACAGCACCGAATTCCCACTTCAGTTTCCTCTGAAATAAGAATTTCTTTAACAAAAAAAAAAAAATCATATCCTTAGATCTTACCAAACAGAACATTTGAAACACGCAAAGAATCCTGGGTCTTAGTGACCACATAAACTTCAATTTTTAAAGCAAATCAACAATAACATTTTTACTATTCATTTTATATATTTGCTGAATGATTAAAAGTCAAATGTTCAAATGGGGGGGGGGGGTAAGTTGCATAGCTAAACCTGAAATAAAGAAATGGGTATCGATTAGAAAAATATCTCTGCTGGTTGAGAATGAGACTTTTTAACTTTAAATCTTATTTCATTAACCCAATTCACACTTACATTTACAAGTCATGCCAAATTACATCTGAATGGCGTAAATTATTGGCTTTACTTAGAAATATTATATTGAATGGAATAACCTGCAGTAAGACGGGGAAAAAAATATTGATAATATTCTTTGAGGCTCAAAAATAGAAAAGAGATGTTGCAGAAGGAAACAAACAAGAAAGAAAAACAAAAGCGGGGTCATTAACCATGTAACAATCATCAGGTTGCACGGCGAAAAAATCAATGAGAGGTTGCTTTACCCTGTATTTTTAAGCCATCCCATCAACATAAAAATGAAATTTCAGATTATTGTAAAGTATATGATATCCAAGAGAAGGATAAATTGATGGTCTATTGTCCCCACTGGGAAAATCCCCAAATACCATCCATTTGCATTACATTCCAGCTTTTTTCTTCCTTTTTTCTCCTCAATCTAATAAAGGGTCACGTGAGATGTGTCCACTTTGACCCAACATGTTACTAAGGTCTGGGAATAATGACACCTGCCACTAAAAAACAACCAACAATTTGCACTCCCGAAACCCATCAAATGCACCCAATTTTCTAACAAATAATATAATATTTGCTCTAGTGAATCTGTGATAATAAACCACCACCACACCAGATCCAATGATCCACGAACACAGACCCCCTAATAAATGCATATAAAATGGAGAGAAAAGAATGAGAACAACAAAAAGGAGAAAAGCAAAAGGACCCTTTTAAGTGCTGAGAGAACCATCTCCTCCAGCCCTTGATGGGCATATTACAGCCATTCCCCAGCCTTTCCAATCCTCAAAATCTAAATATACCAAACAAAATAAATATATAATTCTTTGGTTGTAATTAAGCTCATGGATCTAGTGAGTCTTCTATTTTCAAGTCCATAGCTTGATCTTAGATTAACTTCTTTTATTATAAAGTAGGTGCATTCTCCAGGGCCAGTACTCTTTCTAGTTTCTGTATCATATTGGGATTGGAATAGTCAAACTAATCTCTCTAACTTTTAACACATTTCCTTTAAGGATTGTGATTCCAATCCCTTTCGCTCCTTTCTACATGGAAAACAATTTTAATTGAAAGAGAATGCTTAAATCAGAGTCAGCAAAGGAACCCCATTTCAGAAAATGCGGCACTATGTTTTTCTTTGTCTTACTCTAAGATGGTATCTCTTGCTTTATCTCCCATTAATCCTACGCAAAACTGGATCTTTTGTCCAAGTCCTAATTTTTCTGGTTCCTGTGGCTACCGGGATACTGCTTAACCATGTAAAAAAAATGGCAGGAAAGCCATACTTCAACAATTTAATATCAAAAATTCAGAATCAAAGTATCAAACCTTCACACACAAGCAGCTGGCTTAAAAAGGAAAAAGCGTTTACCATAGAGCATACAAAACGATGATAATACCCTCCATAACAAACAGAAATAGCACACGGATTATTAGGCTGAAAGATCACCATAAAGTTAAAACAATAACCTTTATAGGATGAGATTGAAACCTGGAATCAGTCCTTAACCAAAGCTTCATTAGCGGCCAACTGACGCTTTTTGTCAGATGGTTAACCGATTAAGCATGCACTTAGGACTTGGGTTGGAAACAGTCCATATCCCGTTCAAAAAGGAAAAAAAAAAAAAAA